TCTAGCCTTGGTTTCTTCATCAGTAGAATGGGGATAACAATTCTGCCTCAAAGGATTGATAGTGTTTAGTTGTTCTTAACCAAGAACCATTAATCTTTACATGTTTTATTGTGGGTCTCACATATCTTTACTCCTTTTAATATGATCTTCTAAATATCCTTACAAGAGATTTTAAAGCATCGGATAAGATGTCTGATGTACAAGAGGTTGTCAGTTGAGATTGCTGCAGTTGTCACTGTTGTCGTCATCTGGGGTGGCATCCTCTGCAGGGTCAGGAAAGGCTGGGATCCTTGGGTTTCCATTCCTGTGGCTCCCGTGTGCCAGGTTATGCAGGAGGGAAGGTGCATACCCACGCTTGTCTAAGTGTCGTTCATGTAGTGTGTGGTGTTCTGGTGAACGTGCTCACATTCATATTTGTAAACTCAGCTCTTCCTGATGAACAGTAGCATGTACTTATTTTTGTGCCATTACCACAGCAGTTGAATTACTTTTGCTTTAGGGTATATTTTACTTGTGCAGACGGTAATTCTCCCTTAATGCTCTATGGTTAATTGTCTTACCATTTATTTTATTTTGTCTATTTTGGAATTATTCCATTGGGTTCCAAGAAAAAATTCTACTTGAATTTAGATCGATACTACATTTCATTAATAAAATTATTTTATTTATGTATTTTTTGGGCAGCTGGCCAGTATGTAGATCTAACCCTTGACCCTGGTGTTATCAACACTGTGCTCTAACCAGCTGAGCTAACTGGTCAGCCCTAATTTTTAAAGTAATTACTTTTAAGAGAATTGAAATCCTTGTGATGTTTAATCTTCCGTTGAGGAATTTAGCATGTTTCCACTCATTCAGGTCTTTTTATGTCTCTCAAGTAAATGTTGTGATATTCTATAGTTTGTACAGGGCTATTGTTAAGACTGGACACAAATATGCACATAAATGTATACAAGCTATTGTGAATGGGGTGTTTTCTGTCTGCTTGCTGATTAGTTTCTGTGTAAGTGTATGTACGTACAGACAGTCCCCAACTTACGATGGTTTGACTTAATGATTTTTCCACTTTACAATGGTGCCAAAGCAATAGGTATTGAGTAGAAAGTGTAAGAGTACCCATACGACTGTTCTGTTTTCCTCTTTCTGTACAGTATTCAATAAATTGCATGAGATAGCCACCACTATATTATAAAATAGGCTTTGTGTGAGATGGTTTTGTGCAGCTCTAGGCTAATATAAGTGTTCTGAGCACGTTTAAGGCAGGCTAGGCTAAGCTGTGATGTTCGGCAGGTTAGGCGTATTAAATGCATTTTCAGCTTACGGTTTTTTCAATTTCTAGTGGGTTTATTGGGATGTCTCTCTATCGTAAGTTCATCCTGTCCCTCATGCTCTGTTGACTTTTGACTACTTTTTAGAGGGAAGCATCTTGCCTCTTCCTGGATTTTGTGGCCGGGAAGGTTTTCTATGGCTGACCAATCCTTGTGCTTGCCTGGTTGGTGGCTCCTGGCAGCCCCATGGTGCGAATTGCTAGGATTGTTGGTCCTGCTTCACCTTGCACTTGAGACCTAGGTGGGGTCTGGGCCATTTATACATTATGGTTAGGTTTTGTCAGTTTCAGTGATGGCAGCCAGTGCAGAAGCCTTCTGGGGTGGTGGCCCTCTGCCCCGTGGCCATGCTCATGTCTCGGGAGATCTCTTGGCGTCTGTGGTGGATAGGCCATCTAGGGAGGGGCCGTCCTGGGGTTGGGCCAGGGACTGTGACCGTCACGACTGAGTTGTTGCTCCATGTTTTCCTTGTGTTTGGTGATGTAACATGTGGTGTTGGCATAGAGGTGGGAATGGTTCCTGAGCTTTGACTTCCTTTGGCCTCAGGTTCTGCAGTCATGTGTCACTTAACGACAGGCATATATTCTGAGAAACATGTCAGGTGATTTGTTGTTGTGCAAACATCATAGCATGTACTACACAAACCTAGATGGTATAGCCTACTGCACACCTAAGCTATATGGGGTAGCGTATTGCTCCTAGGCAGCAGCCCTGTATAGCATATTACTGTATGAATACTGTAGGCAGTTGTAACCCAATGGTAAGTATTTGTGTATCAAACATATCTAAACATAGAAAGGGTACAGTAAAAATATGGTATAAAACATAACAAATGGTGTACCTGTATAAGGCACTGACCATGGATGGAGCTTGTAGGACTGGGAGTTGCTCTGGGTGGTCAGTGAGTGATGGAGAGTGAATGAAGCCCAGGACACTACTGCACACACTGAAGGCTTTAGGCACTCTACTATTAGGCTATACTAATTTATAAAAGATATTTTTCTTCCTTTAATAATAAATTAAACTTGGCTTATTGTACCTTTTTTAATTAGTGAACTTTTTAATTTTTTTTTGACTTTTTGACTCTTGTAGCAACAGCTTAAAACACAGATACACGGTACAACTGTGCAAAAAACTTTATATCCTTATTCTGGAAGCTTTTTCTGTTTTTAAAATAGCAGTGCAGCAGACTTGTTTACACAAGCATTACGGGTGAGCAGTGCCTTGCGCTAGGACGTCACTAGGCGGTAGGATTTTTCCGACTCCTTTCTAATCCTAAGCGACCACCACTGTGTATGAGGTCCCTCATTGACCCAAGCATCATTACACAGCGCTTGAGTGAATTATCTTCCCCAGGAAGGGACTGTGGCAGCTGGATTTGCATGACCTCTGAAGGTGCCTGAAAGAGTACCTGATAAAGGTGGTGGGAAATGTGGCTTTTCTATTTAATCGTTGATTCAGCTTTAAGCTGTCCACAGGTTCTGGCTATTGCATTCTAACATTTTAGAAATTTGCCTTTTCTTCAATTCCATTTTATTCACCTATTTCTCAGTTCATCTTTATAAAGTCCCCTCTTACTCTGTTTGTGGAAATGCAGTAGTCTCTGATATCGGTACAACGTGGAGTTTAAATTTTTATTTTTTATTTTTTTTTAGTTAAAGGTATTCTGTCTCCTTTTGAGAAGGCCCAGACTTCACTCCAGAGCTGTCTGGCCAAACAGGCTGAATACCCTTGTCATGAAAGTTGGGATTTGTTGAGTGTCTAAATAGTCACTGTTATGACTCTAAATATTTAGTGTGAGAAAGATAAACAGAAGGAAAACTTTATATTAGCTCAGGAAGTTTTAGAAGATATCAAAGATACTAAACAGGAATCAAGAGGCCGTTTGTTTCTGAAATATTTTGGAAGTAAGTTAAGAAATTATTTATTTTCACCCAGGTTAGTATATTCTTTAAGAACTTGAGTGTATGTCGTGTCTGACTGCAAAATGCCTGAGCAGCACTCTCCTGACTGTGAGTGGGTTCCACTGGGACTCTGATGGTGCCCGTCCGGCGATCAGGTCAGCACGGGAAGCATGCTGCTCTACACCTGGGGGCAGCAGGGTGCTTGATGTAGGTGCTAGATGGGGTTATTGTGAACAGCGCCGAGTGGTGTGCTGTTGTTTGGTACTGAGGTTATTGCACAGTTATTGTGTCTTAGTAACTCTTTTCAGTTGATCAGGTTCAAAAGTTGTGTAGTCTTTGTTTTGTCCATTGTAAAGTTCAATATCAACATTTTTTAAAACAGACAAAAATGGTTCCAGTGGTAATCAGTTTGACAGGACAACTATATTTCATTTGACCTTAATTACAGATTAATTTATTGTGCCCATTACAAAAACAAACCTCACAAGCATGTGTTTTGAATTTGAAGGCACATGCCTGAAAATGGCGCTGGGAACTGGTCTGGGCCATTGGAATTAGAATCCAGGAAAAGTCTAGGTTCTCTGAAGATGGGAAACAGCTCAGGATGTGAGGATCAGAAGTGATCTGTAAGCCGGTGTCAAGGTGACCTTCAGTCCATTTCCCAGTGTTCAGGCCCATTGCCCTTTCAAAGACCCTTGTAATTGTTTGACCATGCACCTAGTTTTTTAAACTTGTGTTCCACATAGCTTCTAGAATTTAGAAATATTCCAGTCTACATAATCATCATGATACTTTTCAAACTTTCAAGCTCTTTGAGAGGGTTAAAGTAGGTGCCCTTAATAAAATGCCTTTGCATAGACAGGTGATGTTCAGCTTTGAACAGTCAAATGGTCATGTATTATGTATCTCCCCCTTTGGTCAAAAAGATCAACATTCCCTCTAAATATCAGCAAGCTTTACAGCTTGCAGGTGACTAGTGTGTTTTACATTTGACAATAGGGGAACTGTTTGTCATGGCATAGATAATGATAATTAGTATTTGTTTAACATTTACTATATGTTGGATCCTGTCTTTTTATATGTATCAGCTCACTTAATCCTCATAAAAGCTTTGAGAGAAGATACCCTCTTCTTCACCTCAGGTTTTCAGTACATGGGACATGAATAAGTGAATCGAAGTAGGTCACAAAGCCAGGACTGGAACGCCAGGCATGCACCCCTCCCTTAGAACACACGTGCACCACGCCCTGCGTGTCGTTCTCTGCCCAGCGGGGTCTCCGCAGTAGTGATGCTGGGCATTGTCGTGGCTCCTGGTCTGAGACAGAGGCGGGTTTCTGCGGGGTGGGTCGAGGGTTGTACCCTGGGAGGACCCTGAGAAGTACACATGTGCTTTGATCTGGGCTCCAAACATGAATTCTAGGTAAACTTTACCTTGCAGGAGGGCAGGGGTCTGTGTACTCCTTACCCTGCCTGCCTTGGGGGCCACTTGGTTAGGGACAGGGGAGACATGTAGTGAGCTGGGAGCCTGGGTGTCTACCCTGCCATCCTCTGGTATCTTTAGGCATTTGTCCCAGCCATTAGTAAACATGGCAACTAGAAACCTGCTTCTTGTAGACTTACCTTCTTGGCTTTTTTTCTTGGGAAGGTCTTATAGATCTCCTTGAAAAATAAATTTTTATGTCTATTTAAAAAATCTTAGTTGTGGGCACTGAGCATGCATTCAAGTTTGTACAGGTTCAATGTGAGTTCAGTGATGGCCTCTTTGACTTTCCAGCTTTGGAGCTGACCACAATGCTGAGCAGGAAGAGGCAGCTACAGGGAGTGGCGGCCCAGTGACCAGTGGCCCAGTCCTCACCTGGGTCCTCTCGCTGACACTAGTGCGGTTGCTTTGTCATTCGGAGCCACTGAGCCAGCTTCTGACAGGTGAGTCGTGTGTGTGTTTTCACCAATAGATAGTGCCTTTCTTTGCAGGAGAGTTGTCTGCTAAGTACTGAGTAAGGTGAGTTTCATACATGCTTGTCACTGACCAGAAGCATACCTCTCCATCCTTTGTTACAGTGTGCCCAAAGGGAGTTTCTCTCTCTGTCCTCTTCTCCTCCTAGGATCTGCTCTACCCAAGAACACTGAGCTGTGACAGGCGGGGACAGGAGAGCCTGGTCCCAGCTTGAGCCAGGCTCTACAGACCCCGCCCCATGTCGGCAGGCTCCTGGCCCTCGTAGGTGTCCTCAAGCCCTTCCATAAGGTGGGGGTGACGGTGCCTCCTGGGCTGCTCTGGGCCCCTTCACACTGTGAACCTCAAGAGTTGCTAGCTGCTGTTTGTGAAGGTGGGCCAGGATGGAACGGGAGAGGGTCTTGACCTCTGCCTCCTTTTCTAACATGGGGTGTATCTCTCTGCCCCTACCTTTAGTGCTGAGATTGGGATCTGCGTAAATAATGAAGGTCTGGGGCAGGTGTTGGCACCCTGCCCCTCAGCGCATCAGCCTGGAAGGCCCTTTCTGGGAATGGACCTTCTCTTTGGTCCTGGGTGGCCCTGGGCGTGGGGTTCTTACAGCACTGGAGGCGGGTCCGAGATATGAATTGGAGGTGCAGCCAGGACTGCAAGCAGAGGGCTGAGGCCAGACAGCCTTCCAGCAGCTGGGCCAGCTCTGGCCTTTGCCCTAGGGTGGGGAGGATGGCTGTTGCAATGGGTATTAGTCAGCTCAGGCTGCCGTGACAAAGTTCCACAGACTGGTGGCTAAACATGACATTTATTTCTCAGTGTTCTAGAGGCTGGAAGTCTGAGACCGAGGTGCAGGCGGGGTTGGTGCCTCCTGAGGCTTTGCTCTTTGGTTTGTAGATGGCCACCTTCTCGCTGTGTCCTCACACGGTCATCCCTCTGTGTGTGTGTGTGTCCTAATTTCTTCTTCTTATAAGGATGCCAGTCATTTTGAATTAAGGCCTACCCAAAAGCCTCCTGAGGCTTTGCTCTTTGGTTTGTAGATGGCCACCTTCTCGCTGTGTCCTCACACGGTCATCCCTCTGTGTGTGTCTGTGTCCTAATTTCTTCTTCTTATAAGGATGCCAGTCATTTTGAATTAAGGCCTACCCAAAAGACCTCATTTTAACTTAATTACCTTTGTGCAGACCCTAACTCTAAATACAGTCACACTGAGGTTAAGGCTTCAACATATGAATGTTTTATGAACATCAGAGGAAGGATGGGCTGTTAGATGCTGAATAACATTATAAATATCCTACTCTAAATTCAGAAAGAGCCCCTGGAGATGTTTTTCTGCTTCGCTGTAGGGATCCAGCATTCAGGTGAGTTTTTCCCTGTGCAACAGAGTACCTTCACAGATCGAGCTCCTGCAGCAGCGAGGAGGAGGAGTTGGTGCTGCCCACCCCGCCCTGGTCTCACCCGGGAGGAGGAGGAGGAGCTGGTGCTGGCCACCCCGCCCTGAAGCCGCTTCCCGTGGACTGTGACCTGTCCACGCTGCCACCGCCCTCTTGGGGGAACATATGGGGCTGTTGGGATGGATCGTTTTTTGTAAAACAGAGGCCCTTTACTCTCTTTCTCACAGCCTAGGGGAGGGAAGGTAACAAGGCGGCTCTATATCCGAATGAATTTTAAAGAAAATAGTCATTTTCTGGCTTCTTGTAGCTTCTACCTTTTCAGTGTTGGAGACCTGGGGCTACAGTACAAGGCATCTCATTGTGGACAGTGTAGTCTGTGAAATGTCACACAGGTGTTTGTGCTGAAGGAAGGCAACTCTGCAATATTGAGTTGGAAGGCTTTGAGGGGACCCATCTGCTCCTTTGTGCAGTCACGAATTCTTTATCCCTGACACAGGTTTATTGTGAGTGATGCTGAGATTCCTGGAGGTTTGGGAGCATTTCTGTTTCTGGCCAGCCTCTACAGTACAGAAGAGACACATCTGAAAATGGCAAAAAATAAAAAAAAAAAACCCATCCCTGCCCATCCCGCTCCCTCTTCCGGGGTCCTCAGACCAGCCTTTACCTCTCATCCTTTCTCTCCCGCCATGTCATTCCAAGGGAGCTCTGTGAACTCCAATAGCCTGATCAGGGACCACTTGACATGTTCACAGCACTGAATTGAAGCCTTGTTTTATAGCTAATCTTCCTGTTTGGGGATTAAAATCTGTTAATCAATGGCAGCTTAAGAAGTGGGGTCCTCTAGTGTAGAACGCATGGTGGGGTGGTGGGTGTCAGCTGTCTTCTGCGAGTGGGGAGCTGGGTTTGTGGCTGTATGTCACCTCATTTGATGAGTTTAAGTTCCTAGATGGGTATTGAACAAGGGGTGACCTGCTGAAGACTTTTTTGGTTGCATCTTGACATGGGACTTTCATGTGGACACCCTCACATCCATCAGGTGAACTTGCAGGGCCTGGAGCTCCCTGGCTCTGGGAGATGGTTGGTAAGTGAACATGAGTGCTCTTGTCTCTTCTTGTGGCCACTGAGAGATCTGTCATACTGCAATGAGTTCAAGGTCAAAAGTATTGGACATTTAAGAAGCCACTTTGTGTTGATTTATCCCACAGCTACACACTGTACCCTTAATTGGCCAGACAGTTACTAAAACATGGTCTGATGGGGACATGGAGGTAGCAGGGGGTGGACTGTGGGCTCCACACACTGGAAGGTGCATCCTCTCCAAGGCTGTGCCAACCTTGTTGGGGTACTGGGTGGGACTCCCCAAGCATCTGTGATGAACACCAGTGTTAAAGAGAATAAATCTGGCCTGAAGCTGGACTCAGCTAACTTGAGTATGTTGTAGAATGTGTTTGATTGAAACCACTAGTGGATTAGTTCTTGCTTTCCTAACTTTTTTCTTATTCATTCTGTAAATTCTTAGTGAGCACCCATTTAGTACCAGGCACCATCTTAGACTCTGGGGGTACTGTTGTCTACAAGATGGCTCAGCCTCTGCAAGTGCAGAGTGTGTTTTTAGCAGAAAGATAAGAACTCATTTTCTGTTTGACCTAACAGTTGAAGCCCAGTCCCCTGGGTTTTAGAAAGATGCTATAAAACAAATGAAAGGGCCTGAGAGGAACCATGTACTGTCAGAACCAGCTTTGGTTTGCACAGTATCTCAGACCAGGGCACCCAGGCCTGGATGTGGGCAAATCCATGGTGGGAATTGTAGACCCTTAGGAACAGAGCCACAGGGGACACACAGTGGAGGGTCCACTGGGCATTAGAGCAACTCTCCCGCTGTTAGCTCTGTTTGTTTGGGGTCATGGTGAGGAGAGAGAGGCACAAATGTTCTTAATCATTCCATTGCCTCTTCTCCCACTCATGGACCCAAAGAGGCCCCTGAGAGTTTCCATCAGGTCTGTGACTCCTTGGGGACCACAGCTTAGCTATCCTCTATGCCCAGTTTTGGTTGCTTATTTTGTTTTCATAGGAGAGTTTTTAGAAGTTGATGGGTTCAGAGCGTCCCATCCCTGAGCACAGTATCCACAGCAGCAGCTCCAACATGCAGGGCTCAGCTTCGGGTAAATGTTCCCAGCTCGGGGATGGTGTGGCTCCCACTGGCCCTTACTTATGATGGGAGAGTGACCCTTGAGATGTAGGCAGAGGTGCCCATCTGACTTAGCAAGACAGAGCTTTGCCAAGGGTAGAAATCAGCTCTCTATCCAGTTGCACTGATGATCATTTTTGCTCAGAACATGCTCAGAATCTATCTAAAGATGTTGCAACTTCTGCCTTTCTCTTTCCAAGGGCAGAATATCACAACAGTTATACCATACGACTGCTCTGATCTTCACAAAACCCTTACATATTTTAATGATGCATCTCTCCTCCTTTCTTGACATCCTCTTGTCTCTGGCTTCTCAAACAATAAACCCCCTAATTCTCCTGTTCATTCTTCTCTGCTCTTATGTCCCTCATTTCCCACATTAACTGTTTCTCTTGTCCACTCCCTAGGTAAGCATTCTCACGTTCCCTTGGTGGAGTCTGTGTTCTCCTATGGAGAATACAAAATTTGAGTTAAATCTATTTGGGGACCTTTGAGCTTCCTGTGTCTGGATATACATCTCTCTCCCAGGACCTGGTGGTTTTGTGCAAGCCTCTCTCCCTTGCTGGATTGCCCTGGAGAGCAAGGATCATGGGTCATTCATCTCGGTGTTCCTGATCAGCTGGCATGATACCTCGCATGTAGCAGGAGCTCAATAAGTATCTGGTTGCATTGTTAGCTGTGTTGGTTCCAGATGTGCTGAGGTCTTAGCACACTATCCACTGATCCAAGTTATCTGAAAGTTACTAAGATTGAAGGAAGAAAAATAATCTCTCATTCTGCTTGTGAGTAACTTGAGAGATGTAGCCCTTCATCCCTTCTCTGTTTCAAGGGTGTTCACATTTCTGCAGGAGCACATGTTCCACAGCTTCTGGGCAGTCCTTGTCAGATAATTCCAACCTCTGTGTCATCTCAGGGTTGGCATCTTTTGATGGTATTTTCTCTTTCAAGTTGCTATTATCCTTGTTCTTGATGTGAAAGGTGATGTCCTGTGGTATCCTAGACATTTGGGGACATTAAAATGTGAGTGTCTGGATTTTATTTAATCTTCTTAGCAGGCAGTTTCTCTGTTGACCTGGAGCATGTAGGTCTGAGTGGGGGTGGGTCTTCAGCTCCCTGGTGGGCCCGACTGACACCAGTGATGGTGGGGACAGTGGAGGTGGAGGGTCCTTGTGTGCTGTGGGATGGTGGTGGAGACTCAGCTCCACATGGACCCTGCTGACACTGGGTAGAGGTGGGGGCAGTGGAGGTGGAGGGTTCTCATGTGTTGTGGGATGATGGTGGCATATGCCAGCCAGCCCTGCCTGTCCATACCTTGTTCCCCTCATTGATGCTGGGGGCAGGGGGGTAGACTTAGCTCCCTGCTGGCTCCCACTGGCTTTTCCCTGCAGGGGAATTGGGTCAC